CCCCAAAACCCCAAAACCCCAAAACCCCAAAACCCCATAAAACCTTTATAAGTTTGAATAATAGTACCACTTATAAAATTTAATAATTACATTATCTAAGAAACCGATGCTTAAAAAGCCAAGTACCGAATGGAACGACTACTGCCGTAAACTTTCAGCCATAAAGAAGAAGTCTAACAGAGAGGTTCTCTGCACTGATTGCTGGATGATCCTGAACTATGAGCAGAGAGGCAAGCACAACTCCAAATTTCCTGAACATAAGCCCAGCATTCTTACTTCATCCCAGTTTGCGAGTGAAATCCAGTTTTACCACATTGCCTTCGCTAACAATAAAGTTGTTGAGAAGAGCAAAGGAGTAAAGCTAGTTATTCAGCCGTGCTTGTTTGACCCAAAGAAAGGATCTGGACACATGCAAATGATTGAGGAACTCTGCAAGGAAATGCATTCTTCACCATCTTATGAGAGTGCAAGCGAGAATCTGTGTGAGTCTGGTCACCAGAACGATATTGCCAACAAAGACTCAGCTGAGTCTGCTACCAAATGCGAAGTCATTAACTCTCAGTTAGACCAAGAAACTGCAAGAGTAAGTTCGATTGATTGCCATCTGAATCAAATGATCTCGGACTTGTGTTTGTTCGAGTCTGCGGCTTATAGCCAAATATTCTGGAGCTTCAACCAATGTGTCCCGAACTACTCTCCTATGTATCATCAAACCCAAGTGTCTTCGACTCTGAACAAAGCAAGGAAAAATTCTGACGCTGACTCGTTGTGCAACTCAGTATCGGCTGCTACCTCAGACCACCAGAGTCCAACTGATGCTTCTGGCAGAAGTTCACCTGCACTAAAGAGCAAGCGTACTGCTTTCACGATAGTCAAGCCCAGATGCAAAGAGAACGCTCATGAGGCCTTTCAGAGGCCTGCAGCTCTGCCAAGCCTCAACTGTGTTTCTGGAACACTGAACAACTTTTAATAACTAACTTAATTTGTTTCTAATGAATTTGATAAAAATTTGAATGATTCTTAAAATTGTTGAAGAATCCTCGATTTGTCATAATTTCTACAATAAAGGAAGTTTGGACTTATGCAGCTTTCACTAAAAGTAACGATACCTTCAAATGGCTTTTGAGGGCTCTTTGCTCTCAAGTTTTCAGATGCTTTATCAATAAATAGAGGAGCTAGTTTTTGGTTAAAACGAGTATAAAAAGTTACAATAGATTCATACTAATTTTCCTTATTTAGCCTTATCGGTAAACAGTTTCTTAACTCTTTCAAAATTAACCTAATTTCATCGTCTTAATTGATACAATCAGGAGATCTAACTTGGCATCAAAGCCAAGGTTACCTACAAGAGGGTTTAGTTTCCATAAACACAACGATTTAGGCTGAAACAGCATGATTTTTACACAAAATGAGATAGACTTAAACCAAATGTTTACAAATTTGGAACACGCTTTTAAGGAAAATAACTAAAGAGTTTGAAATACATCAACGAATAGCCTGTTTATTCCTTTGGTAGCCAGGGTATGAAGTGTTTAAACCCACTAAAATTGTAGCAGTTGACCTCTTTCAGATTGGCTATGAGCCAATCTGGCGTCAAATACGACTCTTGAAGTGTAGACTTAGTTACCAAATCCATCTCATGCTTCTCAATACTCTTAACTGAAGTTTTACGTGGCCTTGTTTTAGGCATTAATTTGCACTTTTCCTGTAATATTTTAAAGACATTGAAAATGGAAGAAAGTATCCACAAAACTTTGGTTTGGCAGATGCTTTGAGGAGCTAAATCTCTGATTTAAACCATGAAAATCATATCATGGACAGAGATTAAACTACCATGTCAACGGAACAAGCAGAGAGGCCCTTGCTCCATCAAAATGTCACAAACCCTCCGATGGATATTAATAGACAACTTAGAGCCTGTGTCCTGAAGATGTTCAAAAGCTATTATTCAGGCAATTGGAGAAGAATCAAAAAAATCAGAAGTGCAAGGTTCTGTAATTAGTATCAATATGGCTTGGGGGCTCATGACCAGGGTTTGATAAACTTTGAGAGTATTCTTAAATTAGAAATGGCTTATTTGCAATCAGAACAGATTTTGATGAACAGGATTTTTCATACTCATTGCCCTCAGCAGCACTGCAAAGTTCTCACAAAGCTTTGTTCCAATGAGCCTAGGAAATATAATCTTGCACATGTGCAGGGCTAAAGCTGACATTTATCTGGATAAGTATTCCTTCATTTCATTCTTTGTTCATCAGACTTCAAGAGAACTTTTGATAAGTTTCTCCATTAAGCCAACGTTCACGATAATGTTGAAGGTTTTGCTTCTATTAACTTGCAAATAGTCATTCTCAACGGCGTTGCTCTGTAGACGAAGTTATTGGACCAGACCTTGCATCTTTACACTTTGTGAAGACTTTGATAAACAATGTTCGAGTTGGAAGAACCTATGGTAACGAAGTGTCACCCGATTTTTCAAAATCAAACCACACGAGTATGATAAAGATCAAATGTATTTGCAAACATATTGAGAGACATAGAGTGAGTACGCCCAGCTCTAGGCTACATTGATCTTTAGCATACCGACCTCTGCTGAGTGACCAGTTTCTTATAAATGATACCAGCCAATGAGTATCTATGGAGATTGCAATTTGAACATATTCGTAAAATCAGAACAAGTTATGATTCGATAAGAATACAAACCCTGCCGAATTAAGAAAATTGATTTGAACCTGCAGTTAAGAAGCTAAGCCTGCATAAAAGTCTTTCTTTCAATATTGAAATAACTCTAAGCATCATCTTTAAAGCCCTCCAAATACCAGAAGGCATCCCCTTCGTATCCATATAAATTTTTAATTTACTGAAACCTCTTTAACTTCCTCTCCTCAAACTAGCTAAAATTATTCGGGAACAACCAGATTATTTAGTGATGAATTATGGAAGAGAGGTCAGGAAGGGAATGAGGAGTGGAGGAATACGAGGGGTCAATGGGTTTTGAGGGCTGATGTGGGAGGGACTCTAGGGGCTAAAGGTGGCCTTAGGGTGGAAAATTGTGTGTATCTGGGGTGTATGAGGGGTGAGGAGGAAGGAGTATGCTTTGTGGTGGTAAAAAATGGAGGGATTGTTAGATGCTTTGATGAGTGCTCAAGTTCAGACTCTAAACCTATATTTCAACAAGCGATACTAATTTCAAGCGTATGTCTGGATTAAGGGGTTTTGGGGTTTTGGGGTTTTGGGGG